TGGACTGTGGCTGAGGGGGCTGGCGCAACCTCTCCCTCCCTGATCGCCTTCTTGGCAGACCCTCTCCCTCACCAACCCTTTCCCTGTTGCCCAACCCTCTCCCTCACCCACTTCCTCCTTCCCAGACTCTCTTCCCAGGCAAAGGGCTCTTGGCATCTGCGTGAGCCCGGTGTACTCCCTGATCCTCCCCGGTGCCGGGAGAGCACTGGCCACCACCAGGGACATGCTGGCCACACATCACAGCCCAGCCACTGTGCAGACCCCCATGGCCCATGAGGATTGGGACCGTGTCACCATCCTGCTCCTGCCCAAATCTACAAGCCCCCCGGCCAGCGCTCCCCAGGTCCCGTCCCGCTCCCCGGCACGTACCCAGCAGCGGGCTCTGGGCCACCACGTAGCTGCGGAGCGTGATGTCGGCGGCGCCGCCGGACTCGAGCGGGATGGGGTGCGTGTGGAAGTGGCGCAGCATGTCGAAGATGCTCTGGAACCAGAGGTGCTGCACGTGGCACTGCCCGCTCTCGTTCAGCGACAGCCGCAGGTGCTGCGGGGAGGAGGCGGCAGGGTGAGCGCTGCTGCTGGGACCGGGCTTGGCAAACCGAGTGCCCGAAGCGCTCGGAGCGAAGCCGGCAGCACCCACCTTGGCTTTGCCCTGGAAGTTGAAGGTGAGCACGTCCTCGCCCGGCCGCGTCTCGCTCTGCCGGAAGACGAACAGGCCGTGGCTCCTGGCGCCCCCCAGCAGCACCAGCTGGGCCGCCTTGATCCGCGACAGCGTCCCGTGGAACCAGGGGTAGCTGGAGAGGGTGATCTCTGCTTCAGCCTCACTATCCTCCCCTGGCCGTGAGGACAAAAGGATTTTAAGGAGAGGGAGCGCAAGACTGCCTTGTCCCAGGGCAGGCACCTCCTCGATGCAGGGACCGCACTGGAGATCACTCCAGCCTTCCCTGCTCTTCATCCTCCCCTCCTCACCCTCCTGAGCCCTGCCGTTGGCTCAAGAGCAGTATCTCATGCTGGCACGGTGACAGCCCGATCTGCACCCGCCCAGCCCCTGCCCAGGTACCTGCCGGGTGCCCTCCAGCAGCGCCAGGAGACTCCAGGGTCTGCAGGAAGCTCTCCAGCGGGACGTGGGTCAGCAGCTCTCCCACAGAGTCCCTGGCACGGCCATGGGGCGCAGCGGCGACGGTGGCCATGGTGGCCGCAGGGGTGGCACTGTGAGTGCTGGGCATGGCACATCTGTCCGGTGGCCTGGGCACATCTGGAAGGGAATTCGCAGAGGGACGTGCTCACCGGTTCAGGGATTCCCTGTGTATTCAGCGAGAGTTGGCCACCCCTCCACGGCCGGTGACAAGTACAGCCATGGGCTCAGAGCCACCCTAGCTGGCTGTCAGGCCAGGGATGAGGAAGATGATGGACAGAGGAAGACCTATCCCTATGGCACCTGGTAGTTTCACCTCCTTCTGTGTTGTCACCATGAGAATCCGGCTTCCCAACCCAGGGCTGACACACAGAGACACCCGCTTCCCACAGGGCCATTCCTGGGGATTTTCACTTTTCCAGGCCTCCTTACCGTCAGCCAGAAATTCGCAGCTGCAGGAGGACACCCTGCCTGGCAGGCAGGCTCCCTGCGCGCAGGCGGCCAGCTCGATGTCGTCCCCGCTGTCCCTGCAAGGAGAGCACACAGTCGCGCGCGGGCCGGCACACGTGCCACGCAGCAGGGACTTCCTTTGACCACCCGTCACCGCCGCGGTGACATTCAGCTCTGCACGCTCCTCTGAGCCCGGCTGCTGCAGAAGTCGCCGCGGTACCAAAGGCAGAACCGAGGCAGCTGCTGCCAGGGCTCGGCCGGGCGAGCAGGCGCTGCCCCGAGGGCGGCTTGAAAAATTTCCATCGAAATGATGTGGGTGAGAAGCTACAGCGGGGGCACTCAAACTTCCTCCCGGTGCAACAGAACCCGGTGCCAAGGACGCTCCCAGCCCAACGGCTGTGAGAAACGACGTGGCTGACCCGACTTGCTGCCTGCCCCGCCGCCCGTGCACTTCAGCATCGTTCTTATGCAAGAAGTCACGCTTGCTTCACCTCCTATTTTTAGCCTTGCTGCCGCCGAGAGCCCTGCGACTGCGGGGAGATGCTCGCGGCGGGGGCGGCGTCCCTTGCTTAACAGCGCTGTCGCGTTTGTGCAGGCAGCCGAGGAAGCATGCTGTGTTAGCGGAAATGGCTCACGAGGGAGCTGCTGAATAATTTAGTGACCAGTAAGTGAATCAGGCCATTGGGGTCATTCAGCTGCAACCGTTTGAGAAAGAGAGGAAAAAAAAAAAAGGAGAAAGAAAACCAAAACTGACTGAGCTCTGCAAAAAATCCGTTGACAGGGCACTTAGGCAGAGGTTTCAGCTCGGCGTCCTTGGCAAGAGGACCAAGCGCTGCACGCGGGAGCCGAATGAGAATTCGTTCTTGGCACCATGTGCGTGTCGGTGTATTAAGCAGCTCATTATTATTTGCTTTAGAGTTCATTATTATTTCCTTTACAGTCATGCCCAGAGGCTAAAGCGGGTTTGTGCTGGGTGCTAAGCAAGCGCACAGGGATAAGAGGCTGCGTGAAGCAGAGCGAGGAGCAATGCCAGGCTCGGGACGGCTTGAATGTCCCGCTTTGCAGCTTGGACACCTCATTTTCGGCTAACCTCGCTTTTCCAAAGACACACTAAGATGGGCAGAGCCAGGGGCTCCCCTGGCACACGGAGAGGGGTGGGGGAAGCGATGCCGTCCCTGCTCCCTGGGGCCTTGCGCTTTCCGAGCCATCTGGATGGCCCTGCTGTGCAGCTCCGGCCTTACCCGGGGTCGATGCAGTCTTGGATGTCTGCCACCCAGGAGTGCTTCTGGAGGGAGTCGATGGTCTCCAGGATGTACTCGGCGCCGTTTTCCACCTGCAGGCAAAGCGGGACAGGGATGTCAGTCTGCACTGGGGCTCGTGCTGCTCCTGCCTCCCATCGCGTGGCGTGGGCTGAGTCCCTCGGGTCACTATTAAATAGTGTTGCTGGATACAGGTTGAAAGTGGGAAACTAAACGCACGTTCCCATGGCAGCGAGCAGACCCCATGGGTGATGCAGTGGGGAGATGCTCCCGTGTGCCCAAGGGCATCCCCAACCTGGGGTCCAAGCCGGGACTTGCTGCAGAAATTGTCCCCTTTGCAGCAAACTGATGCACGGTTTCACCAGCAACTGGGGACAAACCTGGTCGTAAAGGCCTGACAGGGACCCCCACGTGCCAGCACAGCCCCATGCCATGGCCTAGCTCTGCCTGTGCATTGGGGTGTCCCCAAAACTGCCCTGAATACAGACTCTGCACAGGCAGGGTCTTGAGAGCTCGCTGTCTTGCTCAGCGCACAGACATCCTGCCAGACCCCCAGACGTGAGGCAAAACCCTCCCCTGTGTTTTTAAATTTGTTTTTGTGCCTGCTGGTCCAGGAGGCTTCTGATTTTCTCTCTGCAACAGGGTGGGAGAGAAACCCACTTGGAAAGGACAAAAAGAAACCAAAGCAGAATGCAAAGGAGCCCAGAGCCTCGTGCTCTCGCTGGGCGACAGGGAGCAGCCGGCAGCAGGACATGGAAAGCGGGACAGAGGGATTCGGCGATCGCCCCGCGCAAGGGTCAGCGCCTGGGCAGGCTTTCCCCGCGCCGGCCCTCCTGAGCACATTACACAATCTCTGAGCTAAGCGGCGAGGCAGCCCTCGCTCCGGGAGGGTATCGTGTTGCCCGCCGTGACAGCCTTCTAGCAAATTAAATTAGTCTCATACAACCGAATCACGGGCCTGAAAATAAACAGGGTGCGCAGGGAGGCGAGGCCGGGGTCACGATGGACTGATGAGCAGCCACGGTCCCTCCGTCCCTTTTATTTGACGGAGTAAAGCAGCATCTCGGGTGTTCTGACAAAAAACCACGATGGCTTGGACGAGCGGACTGCCCTGCTCCTCTGTGTGCCCGGCCTGCAAAGGAGGAATGGAAAAATCCAGTGTCCCAGCAAAAAGGGCACGAAGCGAGATAGGGCTAATAGGTGATGTCAAGAATAAAAGTATTGGATGTGCATGGTCCAAAGAGGAAGGGCAAAGGAGGAGAATGAGCAGGATTGGGGAGCAGGTGACGCAGAGGGAGCCGATGTGCTCAGGGCCTTTCTTTGCACTGTGCCGGGCTCAAAGGATCGATCGCAATCACTTAACCCCACGCTGGGGTGAGCGCTGCGGTGCAGCGAGGGGGGCGCAGGTTAGAGGGCACATGGGTGCCTCTGGAGCGTGGAGACTTGAGTTGTCACCTCCGGGGTATTTAAGGGAATGGCTGAGGTGACCTCGGAGCTGACACTGTTGTACCCTTGGCTTGAGCGAGGCTGCTGGCGTGGGCGGACACGACGTGACAAGGAAACGCGGTGGATGAAACTCTCACAGGAGGATCTAGAAAACCTGATCCTATGGAGCAGACAAGCCATGGATCCTATGGAAAACCTGATCCTATGGAGCGGACGAGCCATGTTCCAGGAGCCGTGATCGGCTCTCGATGCAGGGCAGAGGCAGCAGTAGTGCTGGCATCAAGGGCTCTGTCTCATGCACAGCACTTTTCGTTAGTGATAAGCAGATGACACCGAGGTGCTCACGAGCCGCAGGGCAAGACGAGAATGCGAATGAATGTCTCAAAACAGGGAAATGGTCTTGGAAAGAGCCCAAACTGGACTGCAGCTCATTTTCCCGATGCCTGTGCGTGGGCTCGGGAGAGCGATGGCTGTGCCCGCACCACTGCTGGGGCTGCATCCGATGGTGAGCCGCGGCGGAGGCGCCCTGGCAGCGGATGCACGGAGCCTCCGGCACCTCCGCTGCTCCGGGTGGCTGTCGGGACACATGCCAGCGAGGAGGCGGGAGCGGAGCCGCTGGGGATGCTCCAGAGGCCAAGGGCAGCTTGCACATTGGCAGCGTTTTCCCTTCTGCACTTCACAGCTTTAGATGCTTTCAAGCAGGTTTGTTTACTCGTGAAGCCTCTCTGCTCCCCTTGCACAGCCCACGTCCTGCGCCCAGAGCGGGCAGAGAAATCACAGAATCCCAGAATGGTTAAGGTGGGAAGGGACCTCTAGAGATCACCTTGTCCAATGCCCCTGCTCCAGCACCCAGAGCACATGGCACAGGGTCACATTCAGGTGGGTTTTGAAGATCTCCAGAGAAGGAGCCGCCACAGCCTCTCTGGGCAGCCTGTTCCAGGGCCCTGTCACCCTCACAGGAAATAAGTTCTTCCTCATATGGAGATGGAACTTCCTATGTTTCAACTTACCCCCATTCCCCCTCATCCTGTCACCAGCCACCATGAAGAAGAACCTGGCCCCATCCTCCCTGCGATCACCCCTCAGGTACTTGAGCATGTTGATCAAATCTCCTCTCAGCCTTCTCTTTTCCAGTCTAAGCAGGCCCAGCTTGCTTAGTCTTTGCTCATAAGATAGATGCTCCAGTCCCTTCATCATCTTTGTGGATCTCCTCTGGACCCTCTCTAGAAGCTCAATGTCCTCCTTGTCCTGGGGAGCCCAGAACTGCCCCCAGTGCTCCAGGTGCCTCCCCAGAGCTGAGCAGAGGGGCAGGATCCCCTCCCTGGCCCTGCTGGCATCGCTCCTCCTGGTGCAGCCAGGAGCCCATTGGCCTTGGCCAGGAGGGCGCATTGCAGACTCATCGTTAACCTGTTGTCAACCAGGACTCCCAAATCCCTCTCCACGGAGCTGCCTTCCAGCAGGTCAACCCCTAATCTGTGCTGCTGCCTGGGCTTATTCCTCCCCGGGTGCAGGACCCTGCCCTTGTCCTCACGAGGCTCCTCTCTGCCCAACTCTCCATCCTGTCCAGGTCTCTCTGAATGGCAGGGCAGCCCTCGGGAGTGTTGGCCACTCCTCCAAGATGCTGCTGCTCTGGGTGCTCCTGGGGTGTTCAGGAGCAGGACACCTGGTCAGGAGGCCCCTGCTGCACCCGGGCTCTGGGCAGCCCTCAGTGTCCTCTTTAATGACACATTCCCCATGGTGGATGAACGAGATGAAATTCAGGATGGTCCCCGGTGCTGCGTGGCCTCAGACAGAGGCTTTTCCAGTGCTGCTGCTGGAACGCGCCATGATCCCGATTTGGTGCGAGAAGCTGCTGCCGCAGCTGCCACAAAGAGCAGCGGAGCCCATTAAGGTAATTAATTGTATTTTGCAGCAAGGGCTTTCTCAGGGGGTTGCTAGCTCTATTGCAAGAGGCTTTTGCTCTCTGCTTTCCCCACAGAACTTCATCTGCTTGGTGCAATGCAGCACCCCGGGGCGCTGCGGCGCCCAGCGCCGCGTGGCTGCTACCCGAATCAGTTAAAAGACAGTGAAACCAGCCGAATTGCTGCTTTATGACACCAAAGCCAGTTTTGGGGAGGCAAACCAAGCCACAGGGAGCACCTGCCTTTGGGTTGAGACTTGTCTCTGTGGGACTGGGAGCTGCACACGAGGGCGGCGCAATCCGAAGTGACACCACGGGCGCCCTGTCCTTACCTTCAGCACGAAGGTGTTGTCCTTGTCGGGCATCTCCAAGGGCATGGTCGTGCGGACCTCGATGATTGCCGACAGCGGGACGCTCACCTTTGGTTTGGAAGCCTGGCAAAAATGAGCAAGGATTGAGGAGGAGGAAAGCGCACGACCGCCTCAACCGCTGCCGCGGGACAGCCCATCACGGCTCTCAGCAGGGCAGGGTCACGGTTATTACAGAGCATCGGTGGGGGAAAAAATGGGAGAATAATAAAAATAAAGGCAAAGTATTGATTTCCCTCATGTGCCTGATAACTCTGAGCTCTTTTAATTAAACCAAGGGATGGCCCCGTGGAAGATAAAGGAGTTAGTGCGCTCAACTGCCAAACGTCTTCCTCATTTCAGCGCACACTGATGCTCTGGCTCTGCCCACACCACTTATTTTTACCCTTTTTAGCCCTTTCTGTGTTAAGATATGCCCAGTACTGCTACAGAGCAGGGAAGTGTGCAGTGTGCGGTAAGGACAAGCAGAGGGGACGTGGCAGCACCCAAGGGTGCCCGGGTAGGTGGCACCGCAGCAGCGTTGTGACCGAGGAGCCGAGACCCACCAGCCTTGTCTGTGCAGGGAATTTTAATTCCATTAAAACAAAGTGAGTGTCCTGCAGGGGACAATGCTGGTGGCTCAAGTCCTTGCCAACATAGTGCAGCCCTGATGCCTCCCCAGGAGTTGTCAAAGGTTCAGTTCCCATTTGGGGGAAAAAACAAATCAGTCAGAGAAGCAGAACAGGAACCACCTGTCCCCCACGCACAGACACTGGTGGAAACACGGGGACTTTTTGGACCCTTATTCTGGGAGGAGCAGAAGCTGGTTCTGTGCTTCCCTCCAAATGCAGAGCTTCGAGCTGGCATCTCCCCCACGCATCGCTTGCGATCAGCACGGTGCCAAAGTAGTAACCGGGCCACGTTTTCTGCAGGACCTACGCAAATGCAAAGTTCAGAGCTGCTGAAGCAAAAAGCCCTTTTTCTCCAGCTGTGCAGGAATGGGGCAGCTCTTAAAGCTCGAACATTTGCCAGAGGAGAAGAAAGGTGGGTTGAGAGGAGCAGGAGACCAACTGAAGACTAGGAGGGGTGTAATTCTAATAGAACAGGAAGAAACACCCAGGGAAACTGCCAGGGAGCCGAGCGGGGCTGCGTGGCCGCCCGCCCCGGCATGGCAGAGAGGTCGGGAGTCGGTGAACGGAAACGAGATCTTCCCCTTGTTTGATGACACTCAGGACAGTCTCGCCCTAATGGATTTTCCATGTGTCCTGCTGTGGCTGCGGAGTGGTTTCTTCCAGCTCGGTTTCACATGTGCCCCCAGGGAGAGGCAGGTTCCTGGCTTCCAAAGCCACCAGATCTAGGTATCAGGGAGGGACATACATTATACGTTATACAGGAGGGACATACATTATACGTTATACAGAGAGCTCGGAGCTTCTCTGTGCGAGAGATGCACTCCCGTTTAGACTCATAATTCATACTCTACAGAGCAAGAGATGAAGATCAGGTGAGGAAAAAGTGTCATGGACTAACGCCACCAGTGGCAAGGTGCATTTTAGCCTCATAAAAACAGAGAGCACCTTTTAAAACACGCAATATTCTGCTGCACCCATAAGCAGTGCACGACACCATCTGTCCACCAAATACAGGGTTTGAAGCACCCCAAGACCAATGCAGAATTCTGCAGTCCATCCGCCTGGCTTCACAACTGGAGCCTGAAACACGAACCATAAAATCCTGGAGAAAAGTAAATGAGTTTCTTCCTTTTCTTTTTTTTTTTTCCTCCCTCCCTTCACAAGTTATTTAAATAACCTGCGTTTTCTTTCCCAACACACAGAGCTAGTAAAACCCCAGGGACTTGCTAATCAGGGGGGCTTCAGGAACATGAGGTTAATCCCCTTGGGCATAACCCACGTTTCTTGGGCTCCAGCACTCAGCTTTTCCTGCAGGATAATAGGGGACAGCGTTTCGCTGTGTCCTGCTCAAGCTGAGGGGTGCCCGATGCTGGAGGAGCACAGAGGAAATGCTCCTGTCAAGATTCCAGCAGAAGAAAAGGTGTAGGCCAGGGAAAAATGGTATCAGGGATATTAACAATATTGGTAATCGGTGCTGCTCTGCGCCAGAGGATGCGCAGCTGGCAGGCCCTAGGAGAGGAGCTGCAAAAGCAGCACATGGCAGCGCCGGCTCTGTCCCCAGAGTCCGGCTGGAGAGGCACCTTGCGGGTACACCGTCATCCAAAAGGGTTATTTTGGAAACAAAAAAAGGCTTTTGCAATATGGACTAGCAACCCACTGGGATTTAAAGTTTCAAAGCTGGATGGAAAGAGGAGATGCGTTGGGAGAATGTGGTGGTCACGGGTTGCCCATGCTCTGTGCCACCCGGACAGTGTCTCATGGCACCATAGGATGAAACCCAGCGGGATGAGGCAGCACTTGCGTTGGGAGAATGTGGTGGTCACGGGTCGCCCATGTTCTGTGCCACGTGGACAGTGTCTCACAGCACCACAGGATGAAACCCAGCGGGATGAGGCGGCACGCAAAGCAAAGGGTCTCCAGCCAAAGCGGTGGCAGCGGCCAGGCCTTTCCCATGGGAGCAGGTTCAAAGGCACCATTCCCGCCACCCATGGGCCAGAGCTGGATTTCATCCCAGCTCAGGAGCAGAGACAACAAAAATCCCAAAGAAACTACCACAACTGCTCAAGTTTAGCTCAAATACCAACAAAAAAAAAAAGGCAGCAGAAAGGCCAGACATGATAGAGGCCAATTCTCCCTGAGGAGCTGACACAGGGGGATGAGCACAAAGCCCAGGTGACACCTAGTGACCAGGGGACCAAGACCTGGAGGTCTAAAGTGGTCACTAAACCACCTTGAGGGGTCTGAAGCAGAGAGGTAGGACCACCCTCCAGGACAGTACCTAGATGAAAAACCACTGTCACCAGAGAACTCCTTGCCAGGGACCAAGGAGTGGGACCAGGAGAGCCACATTCCCGCATCCCTGAGCGAGCAGGGGACCTACCTTTGGGGGGACGTAGAACTCCAGCAAGAACCTCTCCCCTTCCACCTTCACTGCCTTCCTGAGCAGCAGGCGGCACTTCTGCCACTGCGAGCTCCCCACACAGTTCGTGTCATCGGCCACCATGTAGCGGAGGGTCCCCTCCCTCTGGATGTCCACCAGGTCCACCTTGGAGGACTGCGCCTTGGAAAGCCGCAGCTTGTGGGTCCATTTCTCCCGGGTGTCGCTGTGCTCCTTGCTCCCCGACGGCCATGGCTCCCTCTCTGCCCTCCTGCTGCCCTGCGTGGCCTCGGCGCCCGGCTCCGGAGAGGACTTCCGATGCCACATCTCCTTGACGCCATCCACCACGCATAAGCTCATGTTCCTCAGCGAGAAGCCCTTCTTGAACTTGGGCTTGGAGGTGGCGTGGACGGACACGTCCTCGGAGCTGCGGGACTGCCCGTAGGAGGACACCTTGCGCGCCTGGGCCTGCTGCGAGGGGCTCAGGTAGCGGTGGGTGCCCAGGGGCTGCTCCATGCTGTCCAGCGACTCCGTGGAGGTCTCCTCCTTCCTCTGGGCCACGTCGCGCCCGTAGGGCACGTGGCAGTTCTGCAGCCCCACGAAGGGTACGATGTTGTACTTGGTGGGCGAGTCGGACACGAACACCCGGCTCACCTCCAGGCTGAAGATGTCCAAGAAGTTGGCTGCGAAGTGGTGGGAGAAGGAGGCCTCGGCGCCAGGGGTGTCGTAGTGGGGGTTTTCCCTCAGGAACTGGCAGAACTTCTGGGCGAAGTCGACGGCGGCCGCCTGGGCGTGCAGCTCGCAGAATTCGCGCCAGTCGGGCAGCGGCGAGGACGGCTCCTGGCAGAGGGCATCGCCGTTCATGACTGCCCCATCCCACGGCCGGCGGCTGCGGCGGCAACACGGAGACGGGGTTAGCGTCACCAAAACGGCTTCTTCTCACCAGAAAAAGCACCTCATCCGGACTGCGCAAACCCACTTCCCACCTCCAGGGACAAGGTTCCCCTTTGGGCGCCCATCCTGGCACCGGGGGCTCTAGCGACACTTCTACTTTTGCCAGGGAGCATCCTCAGTGGAATGCAGCTGGGGGGAAGAGGCCACAGGGACAGTGCCCGGAGGGGACAGCAAGGGACAGTGCCTGGAGGGGACAGCAGGGGAAGCAGCACCTGCAGGTGCCCTGCTCGACACCGAGCCTTGTGCCTGCCAGCTGCAGGAGTATCTAAACAGGAGCGTGATGCTAAATTAATGCGATTTCCAAGCTGGGAAGCAGGTACCCGGCAGCTAGGAGAGCAGCGTTAGCGCACACCGCATCCCTGCGGCATTTTTTCCTGGAACAAAGGGAAAAACAAAGGCTAATTTTCCCCCAGTCAAGCTGCAGCTGATGGAGATCCCATGGCAGAAGAGCCCCCAGGCCATGTCGCGATGGGGGAAGAGGGGACAAGCAGCCACTTTGGGACAAACCCTCCTCCACCAGCCTTGCAACGGCTCCTTCTCCACCACCACACAGGGAAGGGCAGCCTCGATTTATCTCACAAAAACACCCACATAACCTCAGAAGCGAGAGGTGCAGCAGCACGAAGGGACCCGAGGCTGCAGCAGCCCCAAAGAGAGCTGCTCTCCCCGGCGTCCCTGCCACGAGGTCCCTTAGGAGCTGCTGGGATGTGAATTATTCATTCGCTTGGTCCAGATTTAGAGCTCGCGCAGCACTGCACGACGGAGGCTCCTTTCTCCCCTCTCCCCTGCATCCTCACCAGCTTTTATGCCCTGAATCAGTTGGACACCCCATGGGGACACCAGGAACTAAAGCATCGGAGCAAAGCGCTTTGGGAAAGGGTGTTTTGCGTGGTTCCCCCTCATCTGCTCAGCAACTTTGCCCTGGCAGCAGCCGTAAATTGTCCTTGTTTTATGGCTATGACCATGCAAAGCGTTATTGATTCCTCGTAAAAATGCTAAGGACTCCCCGTCCAGAGGGGACTCGCCTTGAGGATTTGCATCACCCGGATTTTGTCTGTTGCGGCTCAACCCAGGAGCCAAGTGGGGATGGATGGCTGCAGGAGAAGGAAATCGGTGAAAGGCAGCAGCTGGCTGTGCCCTTCCATCCCTGTGTCAGCCCCAGGGACATCCGGCTTTTCCCCATCCGTCCCTCCAGGAGACGGAGTGGGATCATCCCAAAGCCAAGGTGCAAGACAATACTTAAAAAAAAAAAAACCCAGACAAAAGAAAAAAATAAATGAAATAAAAAAGGAGCCCCCAGCCACTGCGCAAGACTTGGAAATTCGTCGAGACGCGTACAGAGGCATTGCAGCATTTTCCTTTCATCAGTCCAGGGATGACAGACATTAAAAGGCCAATTTATACAAGCAAAGCCTGCAGGAGAGATGGCCGAGGGGTGGCAAGGGAACCCACTGATCCCTGCGAGAAGCTGTTTCCCAGAGTGGGTCTCCCTGCATCTCGGTGCCTCTGCTCCCCTCCGTGCCCACAGCGCTGCCCCACTTCCCAAAATAACTCACTGAGCCACAGGCAGCTGCCGTCAGCAAAGCATTGGAAGGAGACAAGAAAGCGGGCAGCAAATCTATGATGCTTTCCCCACCCCAGAACAAGGGTGATTTGCTTCCATCCCAGCTCCGAGGGCGCAGCGTGTTCCTAGGTATCTTCTGGTGAGGCTGGACCCTTTGGAGGTGCTACCTGCCAGCTCAACCACCTGCACAGTGGCTCTGCCCAAGGCTCATGGAAGGGGAGACGGAACAAGCTCAAAGATCTTTTCTAACCTTAAATTAAAGATCAAATTATTTTTTTTTTAAAAAGAGGGAAAAAAAAAGGTGGTCTGTTCTCAGAAGGAAGCTGCGTGGCCAGATAAAGTGGAAATTGAGATAATCGGCTGTGTGGCCGTTGAAAGCCACCCGCAAGCTCGTCCCCAGGCATCTCAGAGCAGCACAGGGCCCCACTGCTGCTGTCACTTGAGAAAGCAAGTCCGGGGAAAAAATAAATAAATAAATAAAGGATTTGGGAATCTGGGGACAGGCCAAGTGGAAACCCCGGGTGCAAGCGCAGGGAGAGGCGGTTACTGGCAGCGCTGCCGTGACGAGCTCATCCGACGAGCTGTGATGACGGATCCCGTGATGACGGATCCAGCGCAGCGCGGCAGCCCGGGCAAGCAAAGGGATCCGAGAGTCAGAGCGAGTTCCTGCCCTCACGAAGAAGTGAAATTCAAGCTGTCAGCAGAAGTGCAAGGGAGCACGGAGGGGATTTCTCGAGGCAGGCAGGAGCCAGGAGCAACCTCCGTGGGATTGCAGCAGGCCTGCAGCAACCTGGGGCTGGGATTTATCGGCGGACATGAGGAAACCCGGGCAGCTGCTACCCCCGAAAAGCAGATGAGCTCAGAGGCCTCCACGTGCTTGCAGGGAGATCCCAAATCACAAGCCGGCCCGCGAGCAACGCGACACCCCAGCGAGCCGCGTGGCATGCCCGGCAGGACAGGCATCCCGTCGGCACCTCCGCCGTCCGCATGGAAAAGCTGCGGGAGAAAGCGCTGCGGGAAGAACCGGGCAGAGGGACACCCTGGGATTGCAGCCGCTGTCCATCCTGCTCTGGATGCATCGGAGCTACACGCACCAGCTGATTTTGGGAAGAGAAAGCCATAGGGAGAAGATGCCATCCGCGTGTTATGGATTCATCCAGACCTGCTGACATCCCTGCCGTGGGGCTGGGATGGGATGAGTTTATTGCTCTGAATAGTCTTTATCGCTCTAGATACTATTTATACTCTACAGATCTCAAAACTCAGACCGGTTGTCTGAAGCGGATAGAAATGGAAACGATCTTCCTTCCCTTCATTTACTGTCCGTGCCACTAAAATATTCATTGAACAGCATCTTGGCTTCAAACTTAATGGTCAAACCACCTGCCCTGATCCAGCCTCCCATTAAATGCGCACTTTGACTCACTGCCCAGATGCACTAAAGGGGCCCTCCTGCCATCCGGAGCCTGGGAAAGGTTTGTCCGGTGTGGAAAGGCTTCTCGGGTCCTCATCCGCTGCCTGATTAACAGTTTCTCCAGCCACGGGAGCTGCCTTCACAGTGGAGGCCCCGAAGCCACCCAACCCTGCTGCTCCCACCAATGGAAAAGAGCCCTAACTGGGAAGAGGCTCTTCCTGCAAAGTTCCTCCCAGCTCTGAAGGGCTGGGATCTCCATCAGCCATGGCCACAGCAGGACAGAGGAGCCAAGTCCTCTCCCAGGGGATGAGGACAGGGAAGAAGCTCCATGGAGGGACCCTGGTGTGGGACCTCCAAAGGTCCCATCCCAGCCCCTATGGACACACAGTGACAAGATGCTCTGCAGAGCATCGCTACAGGCGAGCATTGCACACGCGGCCCCACCATCAGGGCAAACTCACAGTGCTTGCAAACAAAACGCCACCAATGCCCTCCAACAAGAACCAGCTATTTATTGGGGG